AATGGTGAGAATTTGCCACAAGCAAATTATAAACTCAGGTCCAGCATGGCTGCAGGAGAGTCTGGAGATTTCCTGTTGGGCTGGTCTGATGTATGGGCTGCAGGACCAAATGCTCCCTGTTTTTTTTTTTTTGTTTGTTTTTTAAATTAGACCTTTTTATTAACATATAAACAAAGAACACTGCTGTGGCTGAGGCTGCAGCTCTTGTTTTTTTTTTTTACCTGTCAATCAATCCAGTAGGTGTGTCAGCAAATGACCAATCAGCAACCTCAATTTGTCCCAAAGGTAAACGCCCCTTGTCTGTGGAGCCGACTACAGATGCTCAGGGTGTAAATGGTAAATGGACTGTACTTATCTATCGCCTTTCTATCTAATCAAGATACTCAAAGCACTTTACACTACAATCTGTGTCCTCATTTACCCATTCATACAGCACTCTACTAGATCTCTACAAAATTAATTGAACAAATCATTCTAAAGAGACTAATCAGAGCTTTATCACATTCATTCACCGATGGGACACACATCGGAGGCGATGAGGGGTTCAGTGTCTTGCCTTTGGACACTTCGGCATGTGACTGCTGGTGGATTCGAACCCCAAACTCTTGCATTGGAGGATGACTGCTCTAACCACTCAGCCACAGCCGCCCCACAAGTACGCTCGGAGTATGAAGTGTGAACCTCTGCATACAGTACACGCATACGTACGCGTGAACGGGCATACGCGGGAGTATACTGGGGGCTTTAGACATTCATCTATTCCACTCATCCTTTAAAACATTCTTGTTTCTTTTAGATTTCCACAACTTTCTAAGCTTGGACAATGCATAATAAAGACTGTTATTCTGTACTAACCTTTAAGCTGCCAACAATGAACTCATTAACCTAAAAGACCTTTTATATTAGACCTTTCTATGAACCTGAAGATCCTGAGTTGAAACATCCAAGCAAATGGTTGATATCTCTCCTTAGCCAGAAAGGAGTACTTCCCTGGGCTTTCATTCCCATAAGGAGAACAGAATGAGGTCTTTGTTCATTTTCAGAACTAATTTCCTTTTGAAAAGATCCATAGTCCAACAGCACCTTCTTTGATTAATGTACATGTGACCAAATGTTTATGCAACCAGAAATGCTATTTTCTGTTTTTCATGCTGAATGCTTATTCATAAAAGTGTGTGTTTTGAGTAATCTTTCTTAAGATAATATAATTTGTCTTATTTATCTTTTAGATTTGAAACTTTTAAGGCAAAAATATGGATTTTAAATTTAATTAGACAAGTTTCTTTATAAAAACAAAGACTGTCTAACAGTCAAGACCCACCTTAAACCGAGTTACGACCTCTGATTGGATGAGAAGTAAACAGCCACACCCCTTTTCTCTTGGGTGAACTAATATGGCGGTGTTCTAACTCAGAGTTAACTTTCGTTTCAGTTTGGAAAAATGTCTCATCAGAGAAGAATGATGAAGAAAATGGAGTGTAGAGAAACTAACAATTAAAGAGAGAATTTTATTTTACTTTTCAAGTCAGTAACTTCAGTTCAAGTTTCAAGCGAAAAATGAAATAAATAAATAAATAACATAACGGCTAGCTAGCTGAATCAGCTGAGCTTTCAGAGTCATAAAGGAGGATTTATCTGATGGTTAGAAGATAAGAAGCTTCATCTGTTCAATTCAATTCAGTATATTTCTGTAGCTGTAAGTCCCAACAGAAGACGTCTCAGGGCACTGAACAGAAATATTCAGTCCATTATCAGAACGGTTGTGGACGCAGCTTCCTCAGCTTTTCTTCAGTCTTGTAACATCAAACTGACCCGATGTGGACCTAACTAAAAAGTTCAGTCCTTCTTCAAAGTACCTTCAGTGCTCAGTAGATGCAAAGAGCCATACGGAACTGACTGTGATTGAACGATGAGGCTGAAAGTGGTCCTGGTTCAATCTGAGCACTGCTTGGTGGCTCAGGGAGCCTCTCGTGTGGGGAGGCATTGCTCAGAGGTCCGGTGTTTTCCCCAGAGCTCACCCGGACTTTTTTCATCTGGATCCCTCTGGATTATTTGGACTTGATCAGGACTGTTGTGTGGTATTTTGCACTGGCTCTCCAAAGGTCCGGCTCTCTCCAAAAGCATCTTGTTGGATGCTGTTGGATGTTGTCAATCTCTAAGATTCATAACAGGCTGTAACTACTGCACCCACCATTGCACCCTGTATTCACTGGTTAACTGGTCATCATTAACATTATACAGACTCTCTCACTGGCACATTTTCATCTTTAAATCACTTCTTGGTCTGTTGCCTTCATACATCTCCTCTTACATGTCACTGCGTGAGTGCAGCTACAGCGTGCGCTCTCAGGACATTATTACATGCAGTGTTCTCTCAGTGAGGACTGAGCTAGGCAAAAGGGCCTTCTCCTACTCCACTCCCGTTTCCTGGAACATCTTGCAAAAAGATCTGAATCTCTTAATCTTGACCTCTCTAAGGGATTTTAAACAAATGATAAATTCACAGCAAAAATCAATGCAGACGTTCCTGTTTTTAGTATTTTACGTCCATCCATCCATCCATTTTCTTCCGCTTATCCGGGGTCGGGTCACGGGGGTAGCAGTCTAAGTAGGGAGGCCCAGACTTCCCTCTCTCCAGCCACTTGGTCCAGCTCCTTCAAGGGAATCCCGAGGCGTTCCCAGGCCAGCCAAGAAACATAGTTCCTCCTGTGTGTGCTGGGTCTTCCTCTGGGTCTCCTCCCGGTGGGACGTGTCTGGAACACCTCACCTGGGAGGCGTCCAGGAGGCATCCCAAACAGATGCCCGAGCCACCTTAACTGTCTCCTTTTGACGTGGAGAAGCAGTGGCTCTACTCCGAGTCCCTCCAGGATGATCGAGCTTCTCACCCCATCTCTAAGGGAGAGCCCAGACACCTTGCGGCGAAAACTCATTTTGGCTGCTTGTATCCGAGATCTTGTTCTTTTGGTCACAACCCAAAGCTCACGACCATAGAAGAGGGTAGGAATGTAGATCGATCGGTAAATTGAGAGCTTCGCCTTTTGACTCAGCTCTCTCTTCACCACTGCAGACCTGTACAGCGCCCGCTTCACTGCAGATGCTTCACCTATCCGCCTATCGATCTCACTTTCCATTTTTCCCCTCATTCGTGAACATGACCCCAAGATACTTGAACTCCTCTACTTGGGGCAGGACCTCCTCCCTGACCCGGAGTGGGCACTCTACCATTTTCTAGCTCAAGACCATGGCCTCTGCTTTGGAGGAACTGATCTTCATCCTGGCCGTGTCGCACTCGGCTGCGAACCGCTCCAGCGAAAGCTGTAGATCACGATCTGATGAAGCCAATAGGACCACATCATCTGTAAAAAGCAGGGACGCAATCCTAAGGCCACTAAAACGGATCCCCTCAACACCTTGACTGTGCCTAGAAATTCTGTCCATAAAAGTTATGAACAGAATCGGTGACAAAGGGCAACCTTGGCGGAGTCCAACTCTCACTGGGAACAAGCCCGACTTACTGCTGGCAATGCGGACCAGGCTCTGACACCTGTCATACAGGGACCTAACAGACCATATCAAAGGACCCGTTACCCCATACTCCCAGAGTACCCCCCACAAGGTTCCCCGAGGGACGCGGTCAAACGCCTTCTCCAAGTCCACAAAGCACATGTAGACTGGTTGGGCAAACTCCCACGCACCCTCCAGGACACTGCTAAAAGTGTAGAGCTGGTCCAGTGTTCCACGACGAAAACCGCACTGCTCCTCCTGATCAGTTAGCATTTTACATTGTTTTATAATGTAGCTGTTTTTTATTTCATTTTATATCACTTCTATTTACATTTTATTTTATATACTTCTATATGATTGTTGTATTGTAGTCTGTACCGCATCTGTGTTCTTTGTTTAAAACAGGTCTCTCTTGTAAATGAGTCCTCGTGACTCAATGAGACTAACCTGTAGAAATAAAGATTGAATTGTTTCATATACATAATAAAATACAATTAGTAATAGTTATCTATCTACAAAGTAAGTAAGCAGTAGATTCAGTTGAATCTTCATTTTGTCAGTCTCTCATCTTGAACAATTCAATTCAATTCAGTTTATTTATATAGCGCCAAATCACAACAAAGTTGTCTCAGGGCATTTTACAGAAACATTTGCATACATAAAAGCCAATTGGTAAAGTTCTCTAAGGAATCCAGCAGACAAGTTGAATCTTGGCTTCGTTGCAGTCTCCCATCCTGAGCAAGCACAGTGGCAACAGTGGAAAGGAAAAACTCTATTTTAAAAAGAAGAAACCTCTAGCAGAACCAGGCTTAGGACAAGCGGCCATCTGCTTTGACCGGCTGGTTTGAGAGGACAGGAAAGAGAGACAGACAAACATAGAATGGTAGGACAAGAACAAAGTAGACAGTGGAAAGGAAAAACTCCCTTTAACAGGAAGAAACTTCCAGCAGAACCAGACTCAGGACTAGCAGCCATCTGTTTCAGCCAGCTAGGTTTGAGGGGAACAGACAGAATGGCAGGTACAGTGTCAAGTTTGGGGTTTTAATTGTGTTCAGAGAAAGCTTTAAGTGGACTCATATTAGATAATGATGTTATAACTGGTGACAGATCTATGCATGATGACACTGACAGCTTGTACACCTGCATGTCTTTAGGCCTCAGAGTCAGCCATGATTAACCAGATGTTGTATTCACACATGGCAGAGCTTTTTGAATGACTTTTTGCAACCTTTAAATGTAAAGAATATTTGTAATAAACATGCAGTTCATGAGGCGATTTCATCTGTTTTATCTCTCCTTTATGAAAAATATATTACAACTTTTACAAAGAAAATATGTTGAAATGGTTAATAAAATTATATTGTGTTCTACAACACATTCTTCTCAGTAAGTTCATGGCAGAGCTGTGACTGATGCTGTTTGAAACCCACCGCTCAGTGAACATGTGCAGTGCATCAGTGCAGAGTGAGCAGGAGGAGGTCCACAGAAACACTCACATTTACAGGACTTGTTTCATTTGACACGTTTACGTCCAGACATCTTCTCATTCTGCAGGCGCTTCAGCTGATCCTTCTGTTGGGGTGTTGGGGTCCAGAAAGTCGGAGTGCTGCAGGTCCTTCAGGTAATTAGTGGGTGTCAGGATGTGTGTGGAACCTGCATGGGAGACAATCAGAGCTCTGCAAGAACTGAAAGCTGCATCAACATATAATGATGTGAAATCTAAGTTTAATGATGATAAAATGTACTAAAAACTTTTTTTTTTTTTGCATAAATGGATTTTCTTACTGAAAGTCAGAAAACTGTTCTGGGGAGCAGGATCTATGAAGACATGACAGCTTTTGAAACACAGATGAATAAACCCTCTTGATGCGTTTGGCCTAAATCTGACCGTTTTAGACTTTTCTGGAAAATGCTGTATTTATTTATTATTTAGTATAATATATTTACCATACCATCTCTACAAACAAATAAAGGTCCTCTGGACGGATTCTTGTTGAAATGTTTCGTCTTTCATCCAAAAACCTTCTTCAGTCCGAGAAGCCACAACAAACTACGTCTTGTAGTGTGTGGAGGACAGCTTTGCTGTGGACATACAGTCCCACCAAATGTAGTGAAAGTGGGGTGCAGCTTCGCTGTACCTTCACTACTAATTATTTAAATATAACGGGTTCTTTCTTTTTCGAGTTAAATTAATGCCATGTGACCGAGGTAACTGAGTATTGTTTAATCAGTGACAAGAGACGTTAATTTTCCTTTGACCCGTCAGAATAAATGCGGTCATTTATTTAACAGAATCAAAATTTAACATCAAAACATGTACACGTGATTAGCTGATCTGGTTCTGATTAATAAAACTTGGCACGCTTTACTAATAAGACAACAATACATTTCTGAAGGCATCTAGATTACTGGCAAAATAGAAGAGTTTAAAGGAAGGAGTTTAGAGATTTAAAGAAAAGATGGGTGAAGAGAGGTGTATGTTGTTGACCAGAATTAGCACGCTTCTTTCAATCACCAGCTCAAACCTCCTGTACACTTAGCACGTGACGACTCGTTACCTTTGCAGGAGATAAATCAGCTCTGGTGTCGGGTCCATTTCAACGCTACCTTCCAGCGTCTCCGGTAAGATCGGCTGGTCATCATCAGAAGTAGTGTCGATTTACTCCATTCAACAAACAGGCTCAGCTCCCTTCGAAGTTGGAGGCATTACACCCGGGTGGATTCACAGCAAGCATCTGTGAGTCCGTCAGAGTTTCCACTCAGAAGTGGAAGACTCCACAAGGCTTGAGAAGACTCCATCAAAGACTGAGTTCAACTCAGATCCAAGACTTCAGAAGAACTCAGAAGAACTTGAGAAGACGAAGAAGACTCCGTAGATGGAGTAGACTGAATAGTTCCAGGAAGTGTCGACTTTTAAAAGCGTTCTCACTTCTGGTCACTTAGGACTTCCTGATTGGTTGAAACAACCAACAGGGGGTGGTTCTAGTGATGTCAGAGGGTTATTAAAAGTCAACAGAGAGTTCAGGAATGTTTAGGAACGTTTAGTACAGACAGAGAAATGTTATGGCGAAGTAAGACACGCAGATGCCAGTGTTTCTCTTTTTACCGTCTGTTGTAGATAGGTGCAGCGGGGGATCACGTGGTGTTGGTAGTGATTATAGATCACCTGTTGCTCACTTGGGGAATATTTGGCGAGTGGGTGATGGGGGAAGTCTACTTTTGCTGACCGCTTTAAGCGTGTATGGATTTTGTCTTTGATCACTGTTTAAACCGGCGGATCTGTTTTAATGATGCTTTTGGACACGGATGTTTGTAATTCACTGACGTTCTGCATGACAATAAAATCAAGTGGATGTAAGATCTGATCAGCTGGCGCGTCAACAATGATTCCCCTACTCAGTTGCTCAGCGACTCTCTCTGACAGTCGCTAACAATTGTCAGCAAAAATGACGACAGAGTTTTTCTCGCACAGCTGGAATGCAAACGCGAGGACACACCACCGCCACTACGAAAGATGATCGCTTGTCAGAGAAGTAGAAGACGACAGTGGTATGTAACCTGAATGTTTGGTGCTGCGTATTCCGCTACGTTAAGCTGTTGTTGTGACACGCTCCCCTGTTACGTTTGCTGTGGGACTGAGGCTGCGGGATTTCGGTGTGCGAGTGTGTGCTGTGGCTCTGCGTGCGTTCAATAAAGTTAAGGATTTTCTGTTGCCTGGAAGTTTTACTTTATTTTGGATTAAAATGAGTGGATCGTCTGCTGTATCTGCTGTTGAGAAACCTGAAAAGGGTAAAAGAACGATCGTCCTCAGCGAGAAAGCTCTCGCAAATAAAATTGAAACCATCCAAACCGAGCGGAAAAGGCATGTCAAGAAAATGAAAGGTGTTATATCATCTCTTAAAGAGCTAATGAAAGATGATAAAAATTATTCACAAGTAAAATCACAGCTGAATGAGTTAACACATCTGTTTGAGGACACCAGTGTATTGCATGAATCTCTGCTGCCTTTAATTCCGCTCGATGAGAAAGATAAACAAAATACATGGTTTTCAAGCATCACTAAATACAACAAAGGGTTTATTGAGGATGCTCAAATATAGCTTTCTGGAACAAACAAATGCTCAAGCAGGTCATTATCTGACATTTTGCAGCCAAAGGAAACTCCATCAGGAGGAGAAGTGGAGGTTCAAGAACAAATGGAGCCTCAGTTATCTGCCAATCTCCAGCATGACATTCAAGATTATGTGTTGCCATCTGACAGTGTTTCAAATCAAGGAAGCAGGTCAAGCTCTAAATTATCATCAACTTCATCTGCACGTCTAAAGGCAGAAGCTGAAATGGCTGCCTTGTTCACACGTCAAAATATGCTCAAAGCAAAGCATGCAATTGAAGAACAAGAGGAGCAACTGAGGAAAAGGAAGGAACAGTTTCATCTGGAAGCAGAAATAGCTGCAACTGCTGCAAAAGTGAATGTGCTAAAAACTGGATCTGCAGTGCAAAGCTCAACTTCACAGAAATTCAATGGAATGGAATCATATTTTAAAATAAAAAGGTAATGCTGTTGCGACTCTTAATGCAAATGCTAATACTTTTGTTCCACAGACAAAGAGAAATACAGTTAATGAAAATGCAGAGCTTCAAGTGAAAACAGTGCAACATAATGTGACAAAGAAAAGGTCGGCACCTCTTCTTGGACCTTCTCATCCTGTAAGCAGAACAATATCAAATGTGCCTCTGCAGCAAGCTGGTCACTTAGCAACCAATGAAAATCTGTTATCCATCATGGAGAAACAAAATGAATTAACTTGCATGTTGGTTCGTCAACAAAGTCTCTTTTCGCTACCTAAAAGAGAAATTCAACCTTTTGATGGCAATCCGCTTCAATTTCAGGCTTTTATGCGCTCATTTGAACAGGTCATTGAATCAAAGACCAGTGATCCTGACGATTGCCTGCATTACCTCACGCAGTACACCAGGGGGCAGCCCAATGAACTGGTCAAAAGCTGTCAACATATGTCTGATGGTGGTGGATATGTAAAAGCAAAGACTATGCTGTATGAGCACTTTGGAAACGGTCATGTTGTTGCATCTGCTTATCTGAATAAAGTTCATTCATGGCCATCGATTAAATCAGAAGATGGAAAAGCTCTTCAGGCATATTGTTTGTTCGTACGTGGATGTTGTAACGCTATGGAGGAGGTTCATGATCTTTCTGAATTAAACACACCTGCTAATATGCTTGCTGTGACCAAAAGATTGCCATACAAATTAAAAGATAAATGGCGAACAGTAGCATGTGACATCCAGGAGAAGCATCATCGAAGAGCAACATTTATTGACATTGTTTGCTTCATTGAACGTCAAGTCAAAATTACTACAGATCCTGTATTTGGAAACCTAAGTGATGCTCAATTAATAAATTCATCAGCCAAGAACAACAATGGAGGGAAACGTTTTTCTCGCCCAAAAACTACAGGAAGTAGTTTTGGCATCACTACCTCTGCTGTTGAGAGAAATAATCCATCAGAGGCACAAGACATTCGGACTGATGTGAAGATTTGTTTGTTTTGCAAAGGTGGTCATAAACTGGAGTTATGCTCTTTGCTCAAAAAGAGATCTCAATGACAAGATTTAATTTCTTAGGAGAAATGGTGTCTGTTTTGGTTGCCTGCGTACAGGGCACATCAGCAAAGAATGCAGAAAACGCCTTTCATGTAAAATCTGTGGTTTCAGACATGCAAGCATTCTCCATATCCATAACAAGAAAGAGAATGAAGTTCAACTTGATGCTGAAGCAGTGAAATCTCCTGTCACAGTTCAGACTAGTGGTCTTACTGGGGCTGGTGAACAGGACTGCAAGCTTGCCATTGTACCTGTCAAGGTGAAATCAAAGAAACGTCGAAAAACACTGGAAACTTATGCCTTTTTGGACCAAGGGAGTTCAGCATCCTTTTGTACAGCAGGCCTTTTGGATAAGCTGAATCTCACTGGGAGAAAAACAAAGATTCTCTTGCGCACCATGGGACAAGAGAAAGTTGTGGACAGCTTCATTGTACCTGAACTTAAAATTGCCGGATTGGACAGTGACATGTATTATGACATGCCTGAACTCTTCACTCAACACAGAATGCCTGTAGACCTGGGTAACATCCCAAAGCAACAAGACCTGGCTATTTGGCCACATTTGAAGCGTGTTCATTTACCAGAGATCAAAGCACAGGTGGAGCTTTTGATTGGCATGAATATGCCCAGAGCTCTAGAACCTTTGGAGGTCATCAAGAGTGAAGGTAATGGACCTTTTGCCATTAAAACTGTGCTCGGCTGGACAGTGAATGGGCCACTTGACCGAGAATGTTGTAAAAGACCAAGTTGTCTGTCAACAGTCATCATGAACAGAATTTCTGCTGTTACATTGGATAACCTATGGAAGCAACAATTCAAGATAGACTTTCCTGAGAGCAGCCACGATGAGCAAATGGGGTTAAAGGAGGATTCCAAGTTTCTGGAGTTGGCCAGTAAGATGGTAACCTTGTGTGATGGACACTACAGCATTGTCCTGCCTTTGAGAGACCGAGACATAAGAATGCCTGATAACCGTGCAATTGCTGAACAACGTGCTTTAAGCTTAAAGAAAAGGTTAATCAAAGATAAAG